TACTAATCAAAGTTTTTATGAGCCTATGTTTATTAAAAAGCATTTTATTTCATAAAAATGCTTCAAAAGCGTATGTCGTTTTACTTTTTTGTTCTAAACTTTAATCCCTTTTTAATCGAAAACAAATTAAGGAACCATAAGTTACTATTTTACAAGTATTATAATTTCCGCTTAACACTTTTACGTAAATAGTAATTAAATTTAAAATATATTTACTTCATTTAAGAAAAAAAAATAGTTAAAAGTATTTGTTTACAAATTTAATCCGCCAGCAGCAATTCCATTGCTTTGCACATTGTTTGAACTTGTGGCTACAAGACTGTACCAGAAAATGCACTTTGGTCCGGGACAGTCTTTCACTTGTATCTAAAATTACTAATATGATAATGAATTCACGTAAAAAATTTAATGTCTTTAATAAAATCAGGCAGCAGGCGTCGTTTGATAACAATAGCGAAGATCCTGTTAAGAACCTGAAGCCATTGTGTTCTACTCGCTGGGATGTTCGTTCTAGTACATTGTTAGAAACAACGAATTACAAGTCTGTTTGTAAATGCAATGACAGAAATTGGAGAATTGGTATCAGATAATTCTGGGTCCAAAGCGGAGTAAATATTGCAACAGCTTCAAAAATTTGAAATATAATTTAACATGAAAATGTGTTTTCTTTTTTTAAATGCAACAGAGCAGACTTCAGGTACGTTTCAAACGGAAGCATTGTCTTTAAATGAAGCTATTGGAAGTGTGACCGTCACCAAACAGTATTTGCTAAGCTTAAGAGATGCCGTTTGATCAGTTCTACAAGGTAGTAAAATCAGAAGCTGATGATTTGGAAGTAATTGAGCCATCAATTCCACGGACTCAAAAGTAACCACGGTGCTTAGATTCTGGCTCAGGACCTCATATTTTCACAGATGTTTCTGATTATTTGAGACAAAATTTTACGAAGTCATTCACCTCTTGACTGGTGAACTTTACTTAAGGCTTCAGCAGCCATCTGTAAAATCGCCATTAATATGGAAACGCTTTTATTGAACTAGGCAAACTTGGAGTCAGAAACTATCAAGATAGATCCATCACTGTCAAAAATGTACCCTGACACCGACTGAACAAGGTTAATATGGCAACTTCACATTCTACCTGAATTAATCAAATAGAGCAAAAGCAACAAAGTAAAGCCAATTACTAAGATAACCACCATCTCAACATTAGTTGAAGTACTTGCCGAAAATCATACATATAAAATGTTTGATGGTGTCTAAAGTTCTAAGAGTCTTTCTTACCATTCCGGTCAGTACAGCAACAGCAGAAAGATCATTTTCCAGTCTAAGGTGGTTAAAAACTTATCTCCGTTCTACTATGAATCAGTAAAGACTAAACAGCACCATTGTGAGTCATATTCAGAAAGATATTATGGAAGAAGTTGACATCATAAGATTATATTCATAAAGAATTTGTGCTGGCAAATGATGAGCGTCAACGATATTTTGGAAAACCATAGTGTTTGTTTCACGTGTTACTTACTTATTAAATTATGTTTTATTAAATGTATTATTTTATAATTATATTATTATAATATTGAATTATGTTGTAATTAGTTTATTACTTTATTAATGTAAAACTGTCTTAACAATTATCAAAAGCTATTAAATATTTGTTGAAGGTAAAATTAATGAACCACTAGAAGAGACAAAAGTAATCACCTTGCGTGTGATAAATAATTGAATAAATAGATAATTTTTATCTATGTTGCTGTATAATCCGAAATCAAGGAACTTTTTCCTTTTTAACATATGTTTTCAGCGTCCCCAACTTTCGCGACCTTCCTACGCCACTGATTATATAAGATTAAAATAATACAAAAACGTCCGTAACTTGTACGTAAAACAGTACTCAATAGTACAATAATAAAGCAATAAATTTCTAAATTTTTTTAAAATAAAAAACTAAATCTATAATAGTACTTAAAGTTTTGTGCCATACTCGGCAATCATCAGCTATTAAATACAAAAACCGTTGAAAAAAAGGTTGTTTACAAACACATTTAAAATTTCGGTAGAAAGACTTCTGACGTAGTAAAAGATGTAACTAATTAGTCTCCGGTATCAAAAGAGAACAGAAGAAATTTGTTTGGGGCGTAGAAGGGTGTCTAGCCGCCATTTGAATTTTTATTAGTCGGCAAATTGGACACTTGAGTTGGCAAAATTGGATTTATTGTTGGTAATCGGCAAAATTTATTGCTGGAAAACGAGAACCTATTTTTTTTTTTTTTTGGTAAGTTAGTGGGCAAATAAATTTTTTTGGCCTATTGTCGGCAAAAAGCAGACACGGCACTCCCCTTTAAAATCTTTCGACCCTTATAAACTTCTCATGAAGATTTCTATATTTCACGGCATTAAAAGATTTTAAACGATTTGATTGAAATCGATATAATATAAGAATGAATCCGGTATGATATAAGAAATATTAATATTTTATTTTATTTTGTAGAAGTTTTTGTGTTTGTATTTTTGTTTTGTAGTTTTTGCTTTCATTTTGTAGATTTTACGCTTTGCATTTATTTTCGTTTGCGTAAAGCTTGTTTTTATTTATGCTGTTTTGCTAATTATTTTTATTTTTGTTTGCTGTTGTTATTAATTGAGTGTTTTCATATTTTTTTTCATATTATTTAATTTATTATAGCTTTATCGTTAACATTATTATTTTTAAATTAATTTAATTTACGCATGCTTTTATTTATCATTATTGCTGTTGATTTTTTTTGTTTCTTTATTTTATTTAGGTGTCACTCTAATAACTAGTTTTTAACTATATGAGTGACATCTGACCTAATTTTGTAAAAATTTAAAAAACTTGTAGTTTTTCAATTTTCGGTTGAATAAATGGATGAAAAGAATGATACCGAGCTTTCTAAGGAGTTTTGAAATTTAAAAGAAAAAAACATAAAACACACAATAAAGTGGGAAAATATAAAATTCTGTAAACCTATCAAAATAGCATCCTAAATTTGTAGCCTCTGTCTTCATTAGAAGTTTATAATTTTATATCACAAAGAAAACAACCTGCCTAATAAAATAGACGAAATATTATCTAAGTGTCGACATTCCAACAATTTCCTTCTGTACTCGAGACTAAATGAGGAGCCCATCTGTAAAACGCGCTAAGTCACAAAAATTTTTTTTTTTTTAATTCCATTTTTATATTCTATATACTGAAATCTATCATCTAATTAAATAATAGTTGTATTAAAAGACTCTTAGTCCTTAAAACAGGTAAGGGAAATATCAAAACATTTCCTTTTTTTGGTTCAGAAAGCCGCACAGATTGAGGAATGCGATTGTTCCATAAGATTTTATTATCTTTGTCTATATGATATAAAAGTTGTTACAAATAAATTTAAATCAGAATGACAGCCAGCAGTATTAAATTTTTGTTTACAGGCTGAATGCCTGTGCGTTGGATTTACATAATTTTTTTACTATTTGAAAGATAATTTAACCTGCTAAAAATTTGTTAAGAAAAAAGTAGACTTTTTGATTTTTTTTTAAAAAGATAATGCCTAAAGTTTAAGTTGATTTTTAGGTAAGTTGAGCAATAGTGTAGGGTAAGTTGAGCATTCAACAAATGATAGAATATGTATGGTACAAAACTTGAGTGAATCAATAAAACCTTCACTAAAAGTAAGCATGTGCCTAATATTATAAACTTTTTATTTTATGTACTTTAATGACGAAAATACGAGAAGAGAATAAATGGAATAGTAAAAAAGCTTCATAAATTATAAAAATATTATTTTATACAATAATCTCGAACTTTAAAGCCCAATTTAAAAATCACTAATTTAAAAAATATATATATATATATATAAATAATGCATCTTAAATTATTTTTTATCGAAGTTGTTTTTTTGTGTTCGAAACTTCAGTTTTATTTATTTTTTTCAAAGCTGCTTAACTTACCCCTACTAGACTAGGTGACACATTAGTTAAGTTTTAGAGAGAGTTTTAAAAAAGCCCCAAAAAGCCTTCATCCTGCCCGATACGTGAGAGCAACTAGTTGATGAAATATTTTTTGTGCTATTCTCAACTAGACTTATATTTATCAATAAATTTTAAATTTCATATTAAAATATTTTAGCATTCAAAAATTATGACCATATAAAGTTTAAACCCCCTCAATTTGAGGGAATTACAAATTTTTTACGGTCATAATTTTTAAACGCTGAGAAATAATACGATAAAACTTATTAAGTCTAGTTGAAAATAGTACAAAAACTATTTCATCAATTTATTGCTCTCACGTTTGGGGCAGTGTTGGCCAAGTTTTTGTTTTTTTTTTGTTGCCAAGCTCCAATCATCGTAATTTTTTGCAAATCATCCTTATTTTACTTAAGCATTAACTTGTATATGTTTGGAGTTTACTTCAAGTCTGGAAGTTAGCTATCTCAAAGACCAAAAAATGCTGACGCTGCCACTGTCAAAAATATTAATTATTTAAAAAGTTATGTATTCTTAAATTAACAGATCACGTTACGCTGACTCACTGTAAACTAAGCTGAGTTAAAAAATGTTACCAAATTGAGTGCATATTACAAACAAACAAAGCTATTATTTTGAAAATAGACCTCGTTTATTATCACTTTGAAGGGTTTACTTTAAAGTACCACATAAATTTTTTTTTTTGTAATACTTAAAAAAAATGGTTTTCTGCCAAAAAATTGGGTCTCAAAAACCATAGTGCAATCGGGGAATTTTTGAACAAAAGTTAACGCCGTGTAATATAGCTACGAATAAAGGATATTTGACACTTTAAAGTAAACATATTGAACCTTTATGCATACCGCTCTATACATAAGAAATAGGTATTACTACAGAATCTTGAATAGATTCTGTAGTAATACCTATTTGAATGAAAAACCCCTAATTAATCATAAAAAAAATAACTTAGATAGGTAATTAAAAAGTAACTTTATATTCGACGATTTAAAAAAAAATTATCTTAACTATATAATGGTATTTAAACCAAATTAAATCATTTCAAAGTAAACATCTTTTTAAATTCTAAAGCAAAATTTTTTTTTCTGAAAAAAAACAAACTCCAAAAATATATTATCGTTTTTTGTTTTCTTTGTAGGTACACATAACTAGTAACAAACTATTTTCTTTTGCACGACCAAGGTTCAAACGAGTTCAACTGGTTTAATGGTGTTGGAGTCTGCGTCCAACGAACAGCTTGTTCTACCGTCACAAAATAAACGTCGGGTAATCGAGATATTTCGGAAAAAAATTTTTTAAAACCTAAATAAAACAAAAAAAATTTATTTTGCATAAAAATTTAAAGAAAAAAAGAGTTTACAGTGGACAAAAAAATTAAAAATATTTTTCGGTTTCTATTTTAATTTCTTTTCTAAAACATAGAAGTATGAAAGTTTATTTTTTTAAATAATCAAGAAAAACTTCTTCTTTTTAAGACATACCTTGACAAACATTTTAACAGATTAAAAATAACAGATGTAAAATATAACAGATGTAAAATATAACAGATGTAAAATATAACAGATGTAAAATATAACAGATGTAAAATATAACAGATGTAAAATATAACAGATGTAAAATATGACAGATGTAAAATATAACAGATGTAAAATATAACAGATGTAAAATATAACAGATGTAAAAGAGTTCAAAATTGCATAAAATTTTAAACTGAATTCTTTGCTGTTTTTGAATTACAAAAACATCTAAACTGTTATAGCTTAATGGCGGTAGGTCGTAGTAGAAAATGATGGTGGTAGAGTTTTAATCAGTGAAATTTACCCAGAATCATTGTAAGACTCAGAACTTACAGAAAAATTAAAATACATTTTTTTATGTAGAAAAATCAAATGAATTTATGTGCTATAAAAGAGTCTCACTAAGCAAATCGAAGCTAGCTTATGTACAGTGATCGATATGTGAAAAACAGAAAATTGTAAAAAAGTTTATATTGTCGCAATAGGTTCGTTAGGCGTCTTATTAAACAAATAAATAGTTGAGACAAACACTGTTATGCCAATTAATCAAACTGTTATTTAATGAAATACTAAAAAATGACAATAACTTGTCCTAACGAATAGTTATTGAACTTTTTATGTATATATTTATAGTTTATTTGTAAAAGCAAAACATTTATAATTATAAAGTAAAGCATATAATAGTTACATTGAAGTATGAAATTTTTTTTTTTTGAATAACCAGGTTGAAAAAACTGATAAATCTGATTTTACCAAAACTCAAAATGATAATTTTTTTTTTTTATTAACTTTCTCAATAATATTAACACTGTAAAATCAGGTCCACGACCAATCAGATTTTAGGATGATTTCAGATTTTTACTTTGTTTTTGTCAATACATGAATTCACTATTTATTTATTAATTACTAAATATCATACAAATTTGCTCAGCTAAAATAAATTATTAATGTAGTGGTCTATGGGTGCAATGACTTTAAGAGACCCAATTTGTGCATATGTACTATATAAATATATACACATATACATATTTTATTCCAACATCATATAGAATTGCTTTATCAGTGAGACTTACAAAAAACTTTTTTTCTAAAACATTACTATCTATAAAATTATCGGTGATTTTATTAATACTTTTGTAATCAAAGTCAATACTTCTAATTTTCATTATTGTGTTTTAATTAATCTATGTTTTATAGAATATTACTATTAGATACTATTAGATACTATATCTGAATCAAATATAGGGTGTTGCAATAAATGTGGTTTGGTAAAATACAAATTCAATTCTTTGTTTGTAATTATTTTATAAAGGTTGGCCAACAAATGACTTGCCAGATTCTAATTTTATTAATATAGAATAAATATTATCTCCCTCAGATCATCTATCTCTTCAAGATTTTCTTTCTTTAATTGCTTATTTTTTAAAAACGGGGGACCAAGTTAAATTGTTTTATAGTGGTATAAAATCTTGTTTAGAGCTAGCAATGCTTCTCCCTTGCCCCTCTTAATGTCTTTAGATGTAATTAGACACTGGCCTTTTATTCTCGAAATGTTGACTTTTTTGGTTTTTGTCTTATGTGGTCTACCAACACACCAGTTTTTATATAAACTTGATGTACAAATGGTGGCAGATTGGTATTGGCAGTGTTGAAAAAATTATTGATTGTGTATAATTAATTTTTTCGATTCTAAAAGCCATTTTTAAAGAGTGTTTAAACCTTTAAAATTGGCTCTTATGGTTTTTAAACACCCCACCAGCAAGCTATTTGTTGTTTGCCTTTATTGCTTAAAAATCCAATTTTGTTAATATTCCACAAATTGTACAAAAAATTATTGTTGATGTTTGTTTAAAAGATTTATTTGTATTGAAAAAAATTGTTAAGTTGTCTTCAGTACAAAAAGAAGCCCTTAGAAAACAAAATATTGTCTGCTAGTCTGAAGCTGAGTTTATGGCTCCAACTCTTAGCGAAACCTTGACACCATTCTAGTCCTGGCATACCATTTAGTGGAGAGATATGGTTTTGATTAGTAGATTCCTAAAAAATTCCAAATACTGTGATGATATCTGGAAACTTTTTGCCCAATACCCTAACAGCTAAACTGATAAATACAGAAATAAAAAATAAATTCAAACGCTTTATCTTAGCAACTTGTAGCAACTTGTAGCAACGCTGTATCTTAGCAACCTTTATGAAAAATATTTAAAACATAAAACATATAAAAATGAAACAAAATATAAAAATTATAAAAACTTGTTTGAAAAAATAAAGAAACAATCTAAAAAAAATTATTATGCAAAATTGCTAGAAAAAACACATGGAAACACACAAAAGACGTGGAATGTAATTAAGCAGATAATCGGTACAAATAAATGTCAAAATAATAAATTGCCAGAAAAACTTTTAGTTGACGGGGATATAATTTATAATAAAGAAGTCATAATTAACAAGCTCAACAAATTTTTTCTTGATATTGGACCAAAATTAGCTGATAAAATTCCAAAAACCAACTCAAACAACTTCGAATCTTATATAAATACACCCAACACATCTATGATAGAATCTAATTTAAACTTAAGTGAGATGCGCAATGCTTTAAACTGTCTAAAAAATAATAAATGTGCGGGCATTGATAAAATTAGCGTAAATGTAGTTAAAACTGTGTTTGATATTATTGAACCATCACTGTTTCACATTTTTAATCTTTCTTTAAAATCCGGTATTGTACCGGAGAAATTAAAAATTGCTAAGATTATACCTATTTTTAAAAATGGCGATGATACAAATATGTCCAATTATAGACCTATTTCTGTCTTACCATGTTTCTCTAAATTGTTAGAACGAATTATGTATGATAGACTTAACAACTATTTAACTGAGAATAATATTCTGTATAATAAACAATTTGGGTTTAAAAAAAATCATTCAACGGACCATGCAGTAGTCGATCTAATAAATTATGTATCCAATGGGTTCAATAATGATTGCTATACATTAGGAGTTTTTATTGATTTGTCAAAAGCATTTGACACTGTTAATCATGATATTCTAATAAAAAAACTAGAAATGTATGGAGTATTAAACAATAACTTACAATGGTTTAAAAGTTACCTTTTAAACAGGAAACAATACATAATATATACAGAAAATGAAGAAAAAAAACATATCATAACTTGTGGTGTTCCCCAGGGATCAATCTTAGGGGCCTTATTATTCATACTGTTCATTAATGATTTGTATTTAGCATCCAAAATTCTAAACGTTATTTTGATTGCTGATGACTCAAATCTTTTTTACTCTAACAGAAATATTAAAGACCTGTTTAGAATTTTTAATGAAGAGTTATTAAAAATAAATGAATGGATTACGAATAATAAACTTTCATTAAATGTTGGGAAAACTAAATTTATGTTGTTCCACAAACCTAGTAAAGGTGATAACCTTTTTTTAAAACTACCTGATCTCTTTATGAACAAAAAAGTTATTAAAAGAGAGTCAACTATTAACTTTCTAGGAGTGATATTAGATGAAAATATATCATGGAAATATCATATTAGATCTATTGAAAATAAAATCTCCAGAAATATTTCAATGCTATATAAAGTTAAACCTTTTCTTAATACGGAATCTTTAAAAATTATATATTTCTCATTTATTCATAGTTATCTTTCCTATTGTAATCTTGCATGGGCAAGTACCAATTATGGGAAGCTCAAAAAAATTTATAGCAAACAAAAACATGCTTGTAGGATTATTTTTGGCGTTAACAGAACTGTTAATGGTGAATCTCTTTTAAAGAAACTTAATGTGCTTAATATTTACAAACTTAATATATACCAAGTTATGCTATTTACGTTTAAAACAAAACATGCGTTATCTCCTAATATATTTCAGTCTTACTTTACCGAAATATCTCATAAATATCCCACTAAATTTTCATCTGATAATTTTGTTATTCCAAGATCTTATTTAAAACTCAATTCATTTCAAATTCAATACCGGGGACCATTTATATGGAAAGGTTTTTTAAAAAATATGATTACAAATAAAATTCTTCGAGGCATCTCCTTAGAACAATTCAAAAGAGAATCTAAACGTTTTCTATTAGAAAAAACTTTCGATTTTAAAGATTTCTTCTAAAATCACCTAAAATAATTAAACCTGAAAAAGTCATCACTACTCATTTACTATTGTCTTGTGTATCTTGTTTATTTCTTATTAAAATAAAAAATATATATACTATTAATTTTAAACAGACAAATAACATTTATTCGATTTATTACTTGTGTCTTATATTTGTCGAACTAATATTGTATTGTACTTCAATTTTTAACCTTTTAGTTTTTAACTTGTAACTTTGTGACGTTAATGTAAACGGGGCTTGGCGATAAGACAGTTTATGTCTTCTTCTTGCTCCGGCCAATTTTTATACATGAATGGTTTTTTCTCATTGTAAATTTAATTATACGGCAAAGAAAATATAATAATAATAATAATAATAATAATACTGAACCTCTACTATGTGATTAAACTTTGCACGTTTAACTTTGCATGCGCATTTTTGTGAAGACTGACTAAAGTAAAAACTTAACATAATGCTTTTTTAAGTTGAAAATAGAAAATTAACTTTTCTCAAAAGCACAAGTCTTCTGTCAAAGTTCTGATCTAAAGTTGATATCAACTTTGGAACGTTTCTTTTTTCAAACTAAGTTTTTACTTTTTTTCAAAAACGATTTTTTAACACATGCTTTAGTCAACTGATTGCTACTGCTCTTTTAGTCTACAAATTAAGAATTCAGTTTCATTGTAAACAAATAATCTTTTTCTCTAAGGAGGTCAAGGATATTCTTTAAAAAAGGACAACCAAGGATATTATCCATAACATTTTTTAGTTTCAGAATTCAGTTTCATTGTAAACTGGAGTTTTTTTAATTGAAAAATTTAATGACTATAAAATAAACAATTATTTTTTGTTTTAATAAAGTAACAAAAATCGGAGTCAATTAGAATTTTTACATTTTTAAAAGTAAGGGATGAGTTTCGGCTTTAACATTTAATTCTTATGATTTAATTAATACATAATTATAGCTTATTTGCTTTTTAAGTTTTGGATTTTATTTGCATAAATGAATTTAATGACACAAACCAGATACTATAAACAAAGGGGCAAGTAAAATTTATCTGTATGTTATCAAAACTTTTTTTGCTGCTAAGAACAATCTTTTGATTTGCTAAAGATTGTTCTTAACATCAAAAAAACTTTTTTTTCTAAGGAGGTCAAGAATATTATTTGAGAAAGGGAAATCAAAGATATTATTTATAACATTTTTGACCACCTTAATAATAAATACTTTAATAATTAATACTTCTGTAACTGCTTGTAAAAGTACATACGTTAACTTATGATTTTGGTTCGATAAAATGTTTTTAAACGCCAAATTAAATTATTAATTGATCATTAAATAACAACTTACATAAAAATTTCCAATTTACTATTTCACGCTTAAATTTACTTTACTTAGTAGCTTACAAAGTTTAAAAGTTAAATTCAGATTTTACCTATTTGTCTGTAAACAAAACTTTCATGTAAAAAATATGACGCATGGCCAAACAATGCAAATGGTTGCTTTTTATCTTTGTAATGTTGGTTAAAATTAAACATTAGGAGTTTGTATACACTTTCAGAATCGCTTATGCTACGAACGCAACTATCGAACATTGAACATTCTGGACCATTTTCGCCATCAAGTAATGAGGTCAAAGGTACTTCCCACAACCCTGGGTAAGACACTAAAAAAAAGTTTTTATTTATTATTTTATTTGCATTTTTCTATTTCCAGAGTGTATTTTTTACAGTATGATATCATAGACTTACGTTCTGGGCACGGCTCATCAACACATTGAGGAACCTGGTAGTCTAGCGTATAAGGCCACCATTTTGTAGCAGCATGAGTAGATAAGGAAGTATCATATAAAAAATTGTTGTCTGCCAATACCTTAGGTAAAAAGTTAATATCTTTTAATAAAAATTGCAGACTTAATGAAACAGATATTTTAAAAACTGTTTATACTTAATGATTAAACTACTATAAATACTTCACTGATTTCATACCCTGTACATTGTTTCACCAGGCCTTAAAAAAGGGGTTCTCCAACCACTGATTTTTGCTCCGGTTTTTTCTTCAAGCATTTTCTTTTCACCAAGAACTTCCGCTTCAAGTTCATCATACGCGCTCTGAAATATTTATAACATTTTATGAAATCAAATATATACTTTAAGAAATCTTTTAAAATGATAATTAGGATTTAATGAGAATAATAAAAAAGACGGTCAAAAAAGTCATTACCAATTAACTAATGTAGTTGGTCATGACTTTAAATTCTTTTAAATGACTTTAAATTCCTTTAAAGACTTTAAATAATTGTTGCAAATATAACTTACCTCGATTATCAAATATTACTAACAACATAAACTCAACTCTAGCTTTTTTTGTTTAATGTTTGTATTTGCAGTTTTTTTAATTAACCTCAGCTGTTTTGTTTTTAATTATTATAATTTTTCATTAAATGCTTCTATTTTAGAAAAATACTCTTCACTATTTTTTATCTGTGATGTTTATATATTGAATCATAATAAACTTTTTTTAAATTTAGAATCAATTCAATAAAATAGCATACATCTCTCCACCAAACATTCGGACTTCGGTGTGTAATTGAATGGTCTGCTATTTCATGACCTGTATAATAAAGTATATATATATATATATATATATATATATATATATATATATATATATATATATATATATATATATATATATATATATAATATATATATATATATATAAATATATATATATATATATATATATATATATATATATATATATATATATATCTATATATATCTATATCTATCTATCTATATATATATATATATATATATATATATATATATATATATATATATATATATATATATATATATGTATATATATATATATATATATATATATATATATATATATATATATATATATATATATATATATATATATATATATATATATATGTATATATATATATATATATATATATATATATATATATATATATATATATATATATATATATATATATATATATATATATCTATCTATATATATATATACATATATATATATATGTATATATATATATATATATTATATATATATATATATATATAATATATATATATATATATATATATATATATATATTATATATATATGTATATATATATATATATATATATATATATATATATATATATATATATATATATATATATATATATATATATATACATATATATATATTAGCTATCGCTAAGTCTTGCACCAAAAACTAGAAACAAGGTTTACGAAGCAAATTTCAGAATTTTGAAAAGCAAAAGTCTGATTTTTTACTTGCATCATAATATCTGTTGTGTGACACAGAATAATTCCTTTGAATGCAGATCAATTCCTATTGAATACAAAATAATTATTTTTGAATTTTGCAATATACTAATTCCAGCTTGTGATGCAATTTTAGATATAAAAGTTTAAAAAAAATTTTGCTTTCATAGCTAGTAGCTATCTGAGATAGATGGAAAGCAACGTGGAAAGTTTGTTGCATCTAGTTGTCGTGTAAAAAAAAGAATTGTTTTAGAACAAGAGAACTGCTAAAAACCCAAAATAAAAAATGTAAATAAAACGAGCCCAGTTGCAGAATCTTCCTTGGAATCCAATTTTGAAAACAAGCAATTGATGTAGTATTGAGTAACGTTATTGAACAACTAACAACTTGTTTTAGCGTAGGTAAACAAATTAAAATTTTAAAATTTCTTTGGACCCATCAAAACTTATCAAAAGAGAAATTGATCCGGAAAAGAGTTAATGTAACTTAATTTTAAGTTACTATATTTCAGGGCCAGAATTAGGTAAATTTTTAAATTAGACATAATTTTCCAGACACCCCCAAATGCTCAACTATTATCTAGATAAAAAAAATTTTCATACATGCAAAAAAATATCAGGCCTTGTTTTAAAGCGTTACGCCTAGAGCGATTTACGTACGCCTTAAGCGCTTTTTACGTACGCGTAGAGCTGTTTTGGTTAAGCTACTTTTTATCATTTTTTAACTTTTAAATTAGCGGTAACATAAAAGAAGTAATTAATTTTCAAAAAAACCACATTAACTTTTAAATAACGTTATGTTTTAAATAACGTTATTTATTAAAAAAAAAAATTTTCTTTAAAAATAATTATTGTAACTTTTCATTGCGATATATCTTTCCTTTTTATAGCAATTAATTGACGCTAAACTTTTTATCCAAATATTTAGCAACATGAAAAATTGTTTGTCAATCTTTAACTACAAATTTTTTGCAATGTTTTTAATGTAAAGTAGTAATTTTTTAAAGTTTTTAGTAAAAAAACTTTTAAAAAATCTATATTACATATTTATTAATACAGAATATAAAAGTTTTTTGTAATAATAGATTTTTTATGAACTTTTTACTGAATTTATAATAAAAAACATTTGCAAAAAAATTTGTAATTAAGAATTGACATTTTTTTTTAAATAAAATCTCAAAAAATGTCTTAATATTTTTGTTATCATGATAACAAAAATATCAAGACATTTTTTCGAGATGTTAAAAAAAATGTCTTTGCTTTTCTTATTAGTTTAATAGTATATAGCTTATAGTTAGTTTAATAGTATATAGCTTTTCTTATTAGTTTATTAGTATATAATTTAAGTTATGCGGGGGGAGGGGGTCGGCAAAGAAAAAAAAAATTACCTGTTACTCGCAATATTTGAATGAAGACAATTTGTTAAAATTCTTCTGCGTGCGATTCAATAAGTTTTTTTTTTCATAAATCAAGTTATAATATAAGGTAAAGAAATCATGAGTAGACTACAACATCCGCTGATGACACTAATATTACGTTGAATATATTTATATAACGGAGGTTTTATTATGCACGCGCACATTACAGGTTCCGTTAAATAAATACTAAGGCACGTTTTAGTTTAATGACAGTCTCCATTTTTTACTAATGATTATGTATTTTTCTTTATAAAACAAAACAAACTAGTATATAAAAACCTTGTATATTTCTATTATCTCTAAATTGTTTAAAGTTCGAATATGGATTGTATTTTGAAGGACAAAAGATTTACTTTAAAAACTTTTAAATCTTGGGACTTTGCCGATGCTTTGCCGATGCGATGATCACAGAAAAAGAGAAGACTTACGTTATTAAAATCAAATGTAAGTTATGTGATCTTCATCAAAATAAAATATTATCCAAAAACAATAGTGCCGTAAGGGCAACTGCCCAACGGTTTATAAATAATACAAGTCATGTTAAAATATTTTAACATGTTACTATATTTTAATTAAGTTGATATATAATTAAAAATAAAAATATAGTTCAATAAATAAATTAACGTTATTCTTAACAAAGATTACCTCATATTTATTCTTTTTTTTATTTTATTAAGTTAAATTGCTTTCAAACGAAAAAAAAAAGAGTTTTGTAATTATACGTAGAATGAAAATACTTTTGAGTTAGTTTATAAGTTAAAGAACTTAATTTTTAATAAACAAATTTTTACGAACGTTTATTATAAACAGATACGATTTAAATTATTAAATATACTTAAATTATTTCAGTTGAGTATTTTTTTAAGTTTGCACGATTAAAGTTTGGCGTAGAAGTATTTGTTTTTTTTTGTTTTAAGAATAATTAACAAAAGAGTTTGCATAGTTAAGACATTTATATTTAATTTAATTTTTTTTTTAATTTCCTAAAATGAAAAAAAAAAAAAGATTTAATCGTTGAAAACGATTTTTCTCTATAGCTCTGTTTCTTTGTGATTTGTTTAAAAAGTTAAATATTTTTACAATAACATAAAAAATTTATGAATTAAATTCCTAGCGAACGCGTTCTAAACTACGTATCAAACATATGCACAAAGCAGACAAAACTTTTTTATATTTTTATAAAACGCAAGTTTGAACGCTTTTAAACGCTTTTGAACGCTTTTAAAAATTTAAAAAATATTTAAAAACTTAAATTTTTCTTTGTTAGTCGAAACAAAATCGTTGTTTAGTAATTAACATGGGTTTGCGTTTATCAATGATAATATTTTTTGTTTACTCTAGAAATTATTAAAAATAAAAAAAATCATTATTATTTTTTATTCAATAACGATTAAAAACAATTATTCAAAAACAAATTTCCGAAATAATTAATATATATATATATATATATATATATATATATATATATATATATATATATATATATATATATATATATATATATATTTTACTAAATAATAATGAACTAAAATTAATAATAAAATAACTATTGAAAACATTACAAAATTTTCATAATAAATTTATATTTAAAACGTTTATAGTTTATATTTAAGTTAATTGTTAAATTGAAATAGTTTGCGGTTATTTATTTATTGCGGTAGTTAAAACACTTAACGTCTATAAAAAAAAATAAAGATAATTTTATGACGTCAAAATCGCGTTAAGCTAATGCGTTAAGCACTTTTTTATTTAAAACAAGGCCTGAATATGCTAAACTATTACACCTATATTATCAATGTTTAAATTTAAAAGTTAAAATAAAAAGCAACAATACTTTTTGTACGAAAACATTCCAACAGGTTCACACGTCCATAAAACGTTTATGCGAAGACTTATAGACTTCACAAGTCCATAAGACGTCTTAGAGATGTCTAGTGAACGTTTTGTGCCTGCTGAGATGTAGAGATGTTTTTAAAAAAATACTTTTCTTCTAGTTTTTTTTAGTGGAAAAAACATTAGTTAAAAAAATCCATATTTGAAAATTTCAAATTATCTACTTAAATATTTAATTAAACTAATGCGTGAAGACAACCATTTGACATTCAAATGGTTGTCTTAATGCATTAAGGCAACCATTTGAATGTCAAATGTAGACCCTTTCGACAAGTTTGTCAGTAAATTTAGACAGTCAGTTAGCAAATGTTGTTATGATAGTCGGAGGGCAGTCGGCAAATTTTAACAAACGAGAACCTTTTTTTTTTTTAGTCAGCAAAAGTTGTAATGGCACCCCCTTCCGACGTGATATCTACTCGCGCCGGCCCTATAAAACCATTTTTAGCAATTTATTCTTTATAAAAACTTTGTTAATTGCCCATCTGTATAATGTAATAGTTTAGCATATTTTTTTGCATGTATGAAAATTTTTTTTATCTAGATAATAGTTGAGCATTTGGGGGTGTCTGGAAAATTATGTCTTATTCAAAAATTTACCTAATTCTGGCCCTGAAATAGTTACTTAAAATTAAGTTATATTAACTCTTTTACGGATCAATTTCTCTTTTGATAAGTTTTGATGTGTCCAAAGAAATTTTAAAATTTTAATTTGTTTACCTACGCTAAAACAAGTTGTTAGTCGTTCAATAACGTTACTCAATACTACATCAATTGCTTGTTTTCAAAATTGGATTCCGAGGAAGATTCTGCAACTGGGTTCGTTTTATTTACATTTTTTATTTTAAGTTTTTAGCAGTTCTCTTCTTCTAAAACAATTCTTTTTTTTTACAGGATGACTAGATGCAGCAAACTTTCCACGTTGCTTTCCATCTATCTCAGATAGCTACTAGCTATGAAAGCAAAATTTTCTTAAAACTTCTATAT